TTTTTTTTTTTTTTGTAAAGACGGGGTCTCACTTTTGTTCAGGCTGGTCTTGAACTCCTGGCCTCCAGTGAATCTCCCATGCTGGCCTCATAGAGTACTAGGATTACAGGCATGAGCCACCACACCTGGCCTCTTTCCATCTTTAACCAGTATCAACTCTAGACTCTAAACTCTCCCTGGGCACAAGAATCAGGATTTCTGCTGCCCCCCACTTCTCATCTGGCATGTCTTATCTCTCTTCTCCATTTATCTAATTGTTTTCATCCTTTGCAATCTATCTGAAGCCCTGCCTAGATCCTGAAGCATCCCCCAGCACCCCTGGATTACTCCTTGACTAACACATTGCACATTTGACATGGAGCAGAAATTTCTCTGTGCCTTGTCAAATTCGTGGCAGTGGTGATACCAAGAAGATATAGTCCTCTGGAAAAGGTCTCAACTTGTGAGAAGACCAACATTTGAGTTTGTGTCCTACTGTGTGGCCTTGGGGAAGTCATTTCACCTCCTGCAGTCTCAACTTCCTCAGCATTAAAGTGGGCAATTCCAACACCTCCAAACCCACTGGGTGGTTCCAACAGAGTTGGGACTCACTTTGTTTCTTGGGTGGCACAGAGTCAATACTCAATAAATCGGTGTTGAATAAGAAATAAACTCATGTACATGCTGAGGCAGCCAGGAGCAAAGATCTGGCAGAGCAGGTGATTCTGACCCTTGATAGGAAGATGGCTTTTGTGTTTGGATGCTGTGGGATTGCAGGATCAAGGGAGGACTTCAGAATGCACAGTGATTCTATGAAGCCTTAGAAAGCCCTCATGGAAGATGGACTACCCCTGCAGTGCAGCCCACAGAGTCCAGACGGGTAGGACCTGGACAGCTGAGCTGTGCAGGACACAGACGCCTGAGGCTCAGGCACAAAGTTCCAGTGGCAGCCAGTGGCCAGCACCTGTCTGGCCACATGTGGGTACGCAGCTGCTGCCAGGAGTACACAGATGCACAGACTTGCTGGAAGGCGCTGGCTTAAATTAGCTAAATCTCATAAACACTAAATTTATGTCACAAATTGTCTGATAGTCACGGAAAATACATTTCCAAAACCTACATTTGCAAAAAAATGCTTTATCATGAATTGACCTTGGACCTTGTTCCATCAGCAAAACCTGCTCTCCAGGGGAAGAAGCTCTTCAACTCATCAAGTACAAATGCATCCAATTTTATATTTTCCCTCTCTCTCTTTCATTTTGTATCTCCTTAACAATGAGGCTGAAAATGTAGGAATTGAGTTTGCAGATGCAAAAAGGCTTGGCAGCTAGCCAGCTCCCTATAACCTAGTTCCTCTCTGTTCTGTTCAAGCCCAGGGAGTCCTGGCAAAGGGCGCTCCCAGACACACACAAGCACACGTACACACACACACAGCATGGAAATGCCCAACCACTGGTGATCAGCCCTGTGATCTCAGGCAAGCCTTCCCTTCCTGGGCGCCTCCAGCCCAGGGCACGAGGAGTCAGGGAGAAATCAGCAAAGCCCCGACCATCTGGGCAAAGCCCAGGGAAACTTACATTCTGCTTTGGCACAGATGAGGCAGGCGGTGGTGCAGTTGAAGAAGTTCAGGACCCCAGCCACAGCCACGCTGATGTCGGTGTTGCTGGGGTGGAGGTTCAGGGTTGTGAATCTCTGGAACTGGAACTTGACAAACTCCTCGGGGGCCACTTTGAAATGAGGGACCTGGCAGAAGGGGCATAGCACAGGCCACAGGGAGGATCCAGGTGAGTGAGAAAAAAAGAAAGAGTGATATGAGTGAACTAAGCTGCGGAGGCTGGATTCTGTCATGTCTTTCCACACACCCATGGGGCTTGCAGGACCAGGGCACCTACTCCACGGGAGGAGCCAAGATGATATCCCTGAGGACACTTCAGATGGGAAGACCCAGGAAGGAAAACTGTTTGGCCAGAAACCTGGACATGTGCACTGTAGGTCTGGGAGCCTAGACATGTGGCCCAAGAAAGCAAAAGACTAGGTCTTTATTCTCAGAGGAACTGTTTGCTCTGGGCAGCGAGACAGATGGCTCTGGGAGGTGTAATCCTTATATTTTATTTGTAGTTAATAAGTCAGAGCAGAGATGGCAGGAAGAGAAAAATGTTACCCTGGGGACTAAGAGAGGAGGCCCCCAGCCTGGCCAACAGGTACATAAACCAGCTTCTGACAGTCTTCCTGGGAGAGTGCCCAGGGAGATGAAGGGGGTGCTGCGGGGTTCCTCTGCAGATGTGCATATGGGGAGGACATAGCGCAGGTGAGGAGTCATCCAGAGATCCTCTCACTGGAGCCAGGTAAATGAATACCTGCTCGGGCTTCATTAGGATAGTCAGCTCCCTTCTGTGTCAACTTCCTTCTGTGTCTATTACTGACATTTCCAGGAGGCACTGCCTCTTCCAGGAAAAGAGACATTAAGAGGCTGTGATGGCTGCTTTCTCGGTGGCTTAGGCTATTTAGTAGGTAATGGGAAAGTTAAAACATAATAAGCTGCCATCCACTTTGATTTCATTCTGCCACCCTCAGCTCTGGGATGCAGAGCTGGGAGTGCTGAAGTAGAACATGGGTTTGTACTTGTGTTAAAGCAAGTAAGGCTGAGGGTAGACAGCTGGAAGAACTTCCTGGTGGTGGGTGGGCTGTTTTCTAGAATGGATTGTTCAGACTCAATTGCAGAAGTTTTGTTTTTTTTTTTTTTTGCCTTGGCCTGGCCCAGAGGTCTGGGAGATATTGAGATGGTCTCAATATCTTACCAGGAGTCTGGGAGATATTGAGATGGTCTCTGAAGGATTCTGCCACCTTGTCATTTTAAGTTTCTAGTAGAGTTCAGTCAGCCAGAGACCAGATTGAGATGAGAAAAGGGTAAAGATTTAGCAGAAAGTAGGGAGAAAATTCCTGAATTCAACTAGGATTAGCCTGTGAATCACAGAGAGAGGGTAACAGATATTTTCCAGCAAAAACAAAAAAATGCAGAATTGGGGAGAGCCTGGTGAGTTGGGAAAGACGATCCTGAGAGTGAAGCTGACCCAGTGCGTGTCAGGAGGGGTCTTTCTTCCTGCTTGTATTTTGTGCCTCTTACCCTTGGACTAAAATGAGTAACAAATGGACCTTGAAAGGAAAAGGGTCACAAAGGGGCAAGTAGCCTGGCCAGCTGGTATAGATGTTTGAATATCTCTGAGCAAGGTCCTCTCTGTGCAGCCAGCCAGCCTAGTACAGCTGGCAATTCACCCAGGAGAGCACTGCCCATCAGTACCCTCCGTGGTATGGAGCCCTTAGACATCTTGACAAACCGATAGATCCTCTAGGGGGGTGGGGGAGGACTCGAGAAGGTGAAGAACAAGTAGGTTTGGTGTTTATCAACTTGGGTTTGCATCCAGGTTTTGCTGTGTGATTTGAGGGACAAATGGCTCCCAGGGATGTCCAACCTGCGGCCCACAGGCCACATGCGTATTACCTGAGGACTGTTTTGCTTATGTATGGTGTTGGATATCACGACAATTATGCATGGACCTTTTCTTGCTAATTAGATTTCATTAGTGTTTATGTATTAAATGTGAGGCCCAAGGCAACTCTTCTTCATCAAAGAAGAAAAAAGGTTGGACACTCCTAGAGCGTCATAAAAATGGAGATAACCTAGGTGCTTGGAGGATAAAATGAAAACCTGTACATATACATAATAGCTCAGGACCTGATGTAGCATGTGCTTGGTTTCCTTTCCCCTACCCTTTACCTCCCTCCCAAGAAGCTCCAGGAGCCTGTGAGTAGGGGTGACAGTTGAGGGGCCGGGAGGAGGGGGAGCTGAAGAGGTGCCTCCTGCACAGTGCCACCTGGAGGTCTACTAGCGACATGGCAGCGGCTCTACTGGGTCCAGACAAGGGGGGCCCAGCCAGTCTGTCTGTCGGTTCTCTCGCCAGGATAAAGGTCAACTTATACTCGATTTCCAATTGCAAATGTATCCCAGAGAGTCATTGTGGATGTGTGTGGGGGACGAGGAGAGGTGAGCAGAACAGAGCGGGAAGCAGCAAGGCAGAAAGCAGCCAGCCACAGGGCTGCAAGAGGGCAGCAGCATTTAAGGAACCAGCTCCCCCGTGAGAACTCCACGCCTCTCTCTGGAGCTGGGAGTAAGGCAGTTCAGCCTCATAAAATATTAAAAGAAATGCATAATCTGAATGGAGAGGAAAGGTTACTCTAGAAGGAACAGGGCCAGATAAACGAGAGGGTTAACTGGCCACTCCATGGCGCAGAGGCCGGGTGGCCCAAGGCAGAAGACATGTTGGTGGAGATAAAGCACCCACTGAACCCCAAGAGGAGGCTGTGCTGAGGTGGAGGGTTGGAGGGGTGTCAGGCAAGGGGGGGAGAGGAGGGTGCAGACGAGAGGAAAGGGGGAGCTGAAGGCTTGGCAACCACTCTAGGTGAAGATCGGAGCCACTGCTGGAATAACAACCTGCCACCGATTTGAGCTGTTTCTTGGAGCAGGCAAGAAAGATTTAAATTACACATCAGGGCTAACTTCCTGGGCAGAGGTCTGAGAAGGACTCTGTGGGACAGAAGCTGCTTTGTGGCCTGGTCTGGCCTCAGAGTCATTTTCCAGGATATCTGAGGGGGAAGAGGGTGGGGAGTTGTTTGCCTGTACTGGCCCACAGAGAGAAAGGAGGGTGGGGAGTTGTTTGCCTGTACTGGCCCACAGAGAGACAGGAGGGTGGGGAGGGGGCAGCCCAACTACAGAGGAGCAAGGCCACCACAGATGGGCCAGGATAGCGGCACTTGTACATGCAGATAACATTTCTGATAGTAGGCTCATCAAACAGGGAAGAGAAATCTTCTGCCTGAAACCTTAGGGACTCGCCAAGAGACAGGACTCATAGGGACAGTTGTGGCATGAAAGAGGTAGGTCCAAGGGGGCCTGGGGTGCACAGCAGCCTGTCTGCTGCTCCCCCTCTCCACAGGCACAACTTGCAGAGGAGGCGTCCAGACTGTCCTGCAGCAGGTGCACCATCCTATTTCTAAGAACTGGATCCTCCTAAGACCAAAGCTTCTGTAAGGCTGAGGCTCTAGGGCACTGCCAAGATTGATGCTTCTTCTCGTGTCCCTCCCTGGCACAATCCCTGACCTCGAGCCTCACTACCGGCCCCATCTGCCCCTGAGGACCCACTGTCTCCCAGGGATACATCTGAAGAGGAAGGATTGACAGACACCAGGGAGGATTAGAAAAGACACCAGCACAAGGCAGAAGCTCCGAAGTTCCAAGTTTGTCTTTTCCAGGGAAAAAGGAGGGGGGCAGCTGCTGACAGAGTAGGAAGGGGGCTGTTACTCTGAGCTTTGTCCCCCTACACTTTCCTTCTCCCAGGGAACTAGAGCTGGGAAGAAATGGTCTCGACACTCTAAAACTGAGAGGCTCTGCTCAGAGCAGCTTCTGAGGAAGAATGTGCTGCTGGAAGGAGTGAACTCTGGAACTGACGGAGGGGAAGAAGGCAAAATAAAATCTTCTTTCCAGAGAACTTCTAAAGCAGAGGCTTTCAAACATTTATTTTAGCAATAAAATGTAGCAATGGCTTCCCCTAAAGGCATTCTTTCTAGAATCACATTCTGTAGACAGACAACCACGGAGCTGCTCATGTCGACGTGAGTGTAGATGCTCTGACTTCTGCCCTCTCAGCCTCCGCTGACCACTACCCTCTTCTGCCTCTCCCTCAACACCCTCCCCCTGCTGCCACCAAGGCCACTGGAGGCATTGAACCCTAAGACTTGGAGGCACTCAGCTGGAAATGCCTCCATCTGAACATGCTGGAACAGAGTAAGTGCGCAACAAAGGATCGCTTGTTTTGCATTTGTGTTGATGTTACTGTCTTTAATAACATCACCCCCCACTGTGAAGGGTTCTTCCAGCCCTCAGGAGCCTTATCCCTGGGCCCAGGCCCAGATGGAGCCTGCACATGTCCCCCAAGCCCAGCCCAGCCCAGCCCAGCACTCACCTCCTTCTCCCCACAGATGTTGCTGATGATGGAGCTGGAGGCTGGACTGGACGATGGTCCCAGGACAGCGACCACCCCCTTGGGGAGGATCTGACACACTGCAGCAGGCAGCAGGGGCAGGAAAGGAAGCAAGGTACTCATCAGGTCAGGCTCGGCCACTGTCCCGCCTGGGCCGCGTCCTTGAGTCCTCTGGTCTTCACCCGCTGCCCCTCACCTCCTGCCTGCCCCTCCCAGGGCCTCCTCTTCAACCCTTACAAACCCAGTGTCTCTCCTTTTCCCCCTGGACTACCGGGCTCCAGGACAGTTTTATTTGAGTTTATGGACAGTATTAAATGAGGAAATGACCCAGGTTATGACAACATACGGCCACAGCCAACAGGGTATATAAATTGTCGGCTGTTGCCGAAGGACAGAGGCTGATGGAGAAGCCTGAAGATTCCATCCTGGGGGGGAAGGGGTGTTGGGGGGGCTCTGGGCATGGCTGCTGTAGGGGCTGGGGGCCTAGATCACAGAAGAACCACCCAGTATATGATCTCTTAGGCCCCTACATATAGAGTCCAGGAGGAGGAAAGGCAGACGGGGTGTGAGGATAAGGAAGAAAGCAGATGCAGCTAAGGTCAAAGGGAGTGGGAGAAAGAAGAGAAAAGAAAATGGGAGACAGAGAAAGAGAAAACAGGGGGCAGAGAGGAGTCTCATTTGTCAATACCCCCTCCATTCCCCTCACTCAGGGCCTGGCAGGCTCCCTTCCCGGAGCTTGTCCTGTCCTGTCCTGTCCTGACATAACAGCACTCCCAGGATTTTGTGCCTGCTCGGGAGGAAGATGCCCTTCCTCCCCCAACTCTGGACACTCAAGGATCACCTCAAACACTGCCTTCTCCCTAGGCCTTCCTGGGCGCCTCTGAGTGGATGTAATTCTGCCTGTGGCTCCCAAGGCCCAGGGTTTGTGCCTCTATTCTGGACGCTTGCAACTGCTTCTATTTCAGTCTGTTGTTCAGAGTTCTCCTCTCACCAGAGGTCAGACCTCTGAAGGACAAGCACTGAACCACACTACCCTCAAATCCACGCCTCAGTGTCCAGCACAGAGATTTCCAGAAAGCGAGTGCCCAGTTCGTATCTGCTGAATGAACGCATAAGTGAAAGGGATGTATGTTCAGAAGAGGAGAGAATCTAAGATTTTAAAGCACTGAAAATGGAAAGGGGAAACACACAGAGAGAGAACACGAGACAGTTCTCAGAGCACAATCTATAATATCAGAGCCAAGCACTGCCCCAGTAAGTGCGTCCAGGTTCCCCATCTCACAAGACATTCTGTCTGCAAAACTCAAAGCTTAACTCTACACACACTTTCTTCTTACTCTCATTAGAAGCCAGGAAATTGAAGTTAAAGAATCAGTACAAGGTCTCTTGTTGAGTCAGCTGCAACCCGCATGCTCTTTCTTACATTAGAGTCCTAACCACTGGCCAACACAACCAGGTGATGGCCTGGATGGGTCATTGGTGGCAGGATAGAATGCCAAGGTTCAAATCCGAGCACTGCAACTTACCACGTGAACTACAGACCTTCAAGGGCTTCTCTTAACCTACATCTACGACAGGGATCCCCCAATATCCAGAATCTCAGCAGACAGAGGCTGCAAGCAGAGGGAACCTGAGGAGGCCTCATTAGTATAATACACAGTGACAGAACCATCCCCAGTGGCAGAAGTGGTGATGATCAGGCTTCGCCACTGAAGAGCCTCTTCAAAGTTCAAGCTATTTTTCATGTGATCTCAACCAACTTAGCTCTTACTATCTGCTAAGTGCTTTAAGTTCCTCTTCCCACCAAGTCCCTACAACAGCCACAGGAGAGGTCTTATCTGCGGCTTTGACCTGTAAGGACCCAGCACCCTAGAGATGTTATGTGCCATACCCTAGGTCACACACCTACTCAAGGCCAGACCCAGCATCTGAAGTCCAGTTTCCTGACCCCAGCCAGCATTCATGCCGCTCCCTCCTAGACACCTATCTGTCTGTGCTGCTCCCTGCAGCCACCCCCCCACCTACTCCTCTCAACCCTTTACAGCTGAGGTCCTCCCACCCATCTCAGTTACTGAATCTGTTTTCTCCAAGGTTGCCATGACCTGTTAATCTGTTCTCTTTTGACAGCACTTGATTACATTGTACATTTGAATTTTATAACACTACCCAATCCTGATTCCCATCTGGCTCCCTGGTCAATCTTTCTCTCTTTATTTGCCGACTCATCTTCCTTCTCCCACACACTGAACACTGGTGTTAGCCGTGCCTCACTCTCCCTGGGTAATCTTGCTCTGGACTGCAGCCTCTACCCTCATCTCTGCCCAGATGACCTTACACTCTGTCCTATGTTATGAGATACAAAATCAAGGTCAGGTCCAACCACCTGCTAAACTTCACTACAGGTCTTCCCTCTGGCATCTCATGCTTAACATGGTAAAGTGCAGTTATCAAAAGCTTGGACTCTCGGGTGGCACCTGTGGCTCAAAAGGGTAGGGCGCCAGCCCCATATGCCGGAGGTGGCGGGTTCAAACTCAGCCCCAGCCAAAAAAAAAAAAAAGTGAACTCTGACACAAGACTGTCTGGTTTTGAGTCTCTGTCACTTCCTAGCTGTGGGACCTTAAGCAACTTATTAAACTTCTGGGCCTGTGTCCTGACCTACAAAACTGAGATACTAACAGCACCACTCTCATAGGGTGGTTGTGAGAATGTGTCGGGTAAAGTGAGTTAGTCCATATGAAGTGGTTAGAATGGTCTCTAACGTGCTCGGTGACCCTCCTGCTTATTATCCTCATTATATCATATTAGTTATACATTTTTCATAATTCAAATTGATTTTCACACATCTATGAAGAAGATTCATTTTTATCCCCACTTTACAGATAGGGAAGCTGAGATTTAGAAAATTCAAGCAATTTGTTCAAAATCACACAAGTAATATAAGATAGACCTGGGCTTGAACTTGGAGATCCATCTTAACCGCTCTGCCGGATGTACCTTCACTCCTCAAGCTCAAAGCCATAGTCACCCTTGACTCTTTCTGGCCTCTTCTTGCTAAATTGGTTCACTTATTGGACCAGATTCAGACTGCTTGACCTGCCATCCTTTCCTTCCTCCTACCACCACTGCTCCGGGTTGCCTCATCTTTACAACTTGCCTTCCTAAGTGGTCACTCCATCTCCAGGATTCTTCATTTCCATTCTATCCTCCAAACTCTGAGGCAAATTATAATCCTGAAACAGATCTGTGCACTCCTCCAAGGCAGGGACCTTGCCTTATTCACCTCTGCCTCCTCCATCCCTAGAATAGGGCCTTACTCAGAGTTACATGCCCCCTAAATAGTTCTTGGACCACACCGAAGCCTACTCTACACTGTCAGTGGAAAATTGGAAATAAATGTCTGATCAAAAGGGAATAGCTATAGAAAGTGTGGGTCATATGCCCACATGAAATATTATTTAGGCATTTAAAATGCTTATGAACATTTTATATTAGTATTTAAAACATTTATATATAATATTAAGAGAAAGAAGTAGGATGTATAATTATACACATAACTACATGAAGGCTACAACTACGCAGACAGAACAGTTATACATCAAGGAGTGATGAGATGTTATTAAAGGCAACAGATACTGAGTGCTAATTACAACCCAATTGGAAGAACTTTACAGGAATTGAATTATTTCAAACAATGTAATGAAACAGGTACTATTACTGTTATTCTCATTTTACATGTAAAAAAACAAGACCAGAACATGAAAGGGCAGAGTCCAGATTCACCATCTCTATCCCTTTCCATAGGGACCAGTGCTTTAACCATGGTGCCACATGGCCTCCCCCAGTTAACAGCGACTAACTGGCATGTTCCTAGAGATTGCCTCGGCCACCGGAACATGAAGTGATTGTTGTCCCTTTTTTCATTTCTCTGGTTTCCATTACATAATAACCATGGACTCCTTTTATAACATGTTGTAAAAATGCAATGCTATAATAAAAGAATTTCTTCCTATGGGCAAGTAAAATTTAAGTGCATCTGAACTCTTGGAGACCCTGCCCTTCCAGACCTTTCTCCCACCACTCAGCTCACCTGGATCGTACTCTGCACATTTTCCTGCCTCAGCTTGTTCCTGAGTGGTTATCTCAGACTCGACCAGGGGTTCTTAAGCTACTGCCTTGGGTCTGTGGGTAGAAGTCAGGGGCCTGGGAATATCTCGGGGGGAAAATCACATCATTATTTTCTTTAACCTCTAAGTGAAATGCAGCATTTCGTTTCATTTTGGATGTAGGTGACAAACCTCGGTATATTAATAGCACCTGTGACTTCGTCACTAAAAGAAATTACCCATGTTTCATATCATTGCTGTGCTCTGGATATCTTGAAATACCATTTATATTCATTATTACTTCGAAATGAAGCTGGTTAGACCCAGTGCTGAGCTTGGCTATTTAATATATTAATGAAGAAGCACATATATTAATATATCACTATTAAAATATTTTAACTGCATTTCTTTATAATTGGTTTCCATGGTCATACCTCCTATTTTATTTTATTCATTTAAGAGCATTTTTTTTTTTTCCTGAGGAGGAGTCCATTAGCATCCCTGCTCTATTATGGTCTAGGGCCTATACCCCAGGCCCTCTGTTACCCCTCCTCCTGGCAAATTCCTACAGATGCACCAGCACCCAGCTCACATCTTGCCCCTGGGCAGGAAGGCATCTCTCTCTATATTTGCATGACACTGTGGCTCTGAGTCAGTTGTTTAAGAAGACTGGGAAGCTTCCCTATTCTCGTAATTACTGGCCAGCTTCTGCCCTGAACAGAACATCACCAGATGTTGGGTTTCAACAGAGGGAGGTTTCCCCTAAAAAGAAATTCGTACAGCAGGCTATTATTTCTTTTTCCCAATTCTAAAATACAAAAGGCTCCGAAACTGGATGTTTTTCATCAAACTCATTTGCGAGCAAAATCGGATCTCAATAGACAGATTGAACTGTTTACAATGTGTGAATATATAAGTATGAGATGCTGCTGGTGATGTGACTTACAGCATGGTGACATCTTTCCAACGTCTCAAGA